AAAGAATACATGTAGGGATAAAATATAATGTTAGTCAGAGGACAGAGGATATCTCACTTCATTACTTCAAAATGAAAAGATGTTCATTTGTGTTTATGCTTACAATAATAAAAAATACATGATGCATTTTATAATATAAAAAAAAAAAGACAATTTGACTGAATATAAAATAACCTGATATCTTCAGAGGCACAATTCTGATCTTGTCTGTGAGAATGTTTCCAGAGAGAGTGAGGATGGATTACCCACCCTAAATATGTATAGCACTATTCAGGAATTGGCATTACAAAATGAATAAAAGTGTAGAAAAAGGAGAAAACCAGATGTACATCAGAATTTATTTCTCTTGTTCCTCACTGCTCACAATCTCTTCCAGCACAGTAAGGGTCAGTCTTGCCTCATACCTTCCCTTTCGTGATCAAATGTATTCTCAATCTGTGAGCCAAAACATAGCTTTCCTTAGGTTACATCAGGCATTTGTTCACAGCTATCAAAAGAGTGACTAATATGAAAAACGAGTAACAAGGAGAGGGCTACTTCCTATGATAAGCCTGATTGTTTTCCTCTTATGGTAGAAAACTAGACAGATGTTAATGAACTCACAATACGCACTGATGATGAAATCCTTCCTCATGGAGTGTGGACCTTACCTTTCCTATCACTAGTAACTCTAGAAAGGTCAGTGTCTCTTTAGCATTTAAATTACAAAACAATCAAACATGAAAAAAATAAAATACAAACAATATGGTGAAGAAAGAGAGTGGAATAAGAGGGGAGGGGATGTGGGGAGGAACAGAGAGAAGTGGAAGGAGGGGAAACTATAATTGGGATACGTTATATAAGAAAATAATCCATTTTCAATAAGGGAAAAAAGACAAAAAGGCAAAGTTAACATGCATATATTCAAAATAAAATATAATCTTAAATGAAAAAAATGCAACCTAAAAAACATGTGAAAGAATAAAGTTATTTTATTTTGTTGATGTCCCTTAATGCAAAGCTACTTTAGTTCTGGTAAAAAGAAGAATGACTTGTAATATCTAAACAGAAACCAGAATATTTTATTGTAAAAATATAAAGTATGATTACTACCTGTAACCCTGGGTAGAGAGAGATCTTCTATTCCATGCTGCTCAATATATTACATACTATTATCCTCTTATTTCAAGAATTAATACAACAGGGATCATCAATCAAATCATCTGACATGAGTCTTCTTCCTAGAAATGCTGGATAGCATGAAGAGAAGTTGAAGAAAAGAGAACTGATTATCCCTTTA